TATCCACATTCTTAAAAGTCGTTTTGGCCACTGCAGGAGTACAGAGTACTGCAGGATACACACACACACAGACACACACACACACACACACAGACACACACACACGCACACACACACACGCACACACACACACACACACACACACACTCAGAGTCTGTTTTTCAGCACCTGCAAAAACATGCTATTTACATATTTGACAACAATGCAGAGACTTCCTTTTGCCCCTGAAAAAAATGAAATTTCAAACACAACTTGACTGCTCATTTCTCCAAAAGACAACCATGAAGCTCCATCCAAACCTGAAGCAGGCAGTTGGTGCATGTGTACAGTAACCTGAGGGGAGTGAGGTGACTGCTTCTGAGGAGAACATGAGCAGTGAAGATTCACCTTGGAGCTAGAACAGGGACGTGCACATGATTATACAGGGGCAGGGGCTCAAGTTTTTTCCAGTCGTTTAGACAATATGGAAATTAATGTGAAATTAAAAAACAAAGTATTAATAGAAAGGTAATGACTGTCCTGTGTAGGTGACAGTGATATCCAATAGGCTAGGCACTCACGAGGCTGGCTGTGGCAAGTGCAAGTGAAAGCCACACGCACTGGCAGGAAGAACAGCAAACGCCGATGAAGGAAAAGGGTCTTTGCAGTGATGGGCGTTACCAGAGAGGACGATGGCCAGAGGACGCGAATGGGACGGGGAGGCAGCGCGTTGGGGGGGGGGGGGGGGGGGGGCGACACAGCTCGGGCCCGCCAGTGCCCCAACGGGGCCCTAGTCTTCTTATTAGGGCCCGAGCGTAGCTGCTAAGCAGCTGCGAGAGCCCTCTTGTTCCTGATGGATTCTTCTTTCGTTATTTTTCCTCCGCTTTAAACTGGAAAATGGCCCACTTCCCACTGGCGAAAACTCAGGAAATTTGGCAGGACGACCGGGCCTGGTGAAAAATTTGATATTCTGAAGTCGCCCAAACAAAAAAATGAAAAATGGCTCCATAGCGCCCCCTATGGTGAAAACTCACCTGACGCCTGTACGCTTTGTCAAAATGACACAAAATTTGACACACATGTGTATCTCAATAAGATCTACAAAAAAGTCAGTGCGGGCGTATCTGTCAAATGTACGGTTAAAGGGCTATTTCGCATTTTTTGCAGATCCGCACACATTGGAATTTCGCTAACTCCTCCGAAGGCTTTCGTTCCACCGGCACCAAATTTGCTCAGGCCAATCTACACCCCATGGCCATTCAAAGTTGTACAAATCATGACGCTGCACCCCACGGTTTATGTTCTAGGGGGCGCCAAAGATAACCCAAAAATCCACATTCTTAAAAGTCTTATAACTTTTTATTTTTGTCCTCACTGGCCTCCAAGTTTTCTAGGATGATGCTATGTCCAGCCATCAACACATGTGTGAAGGAATTTTTACTCCCCAAAAGAGCGCCCCCCCATGGCAGGAGAAAAAAGTCAATTTTTTCTTGTCCCCTAAGGTGAAAATACACATTGTTGAGTGTCACGCCTGAACTCTTTGTCATATTGACACAAAAATTGACAATCATGTGTATCTCAATTAGATTTACGAAAAAGTCAAAGAGCGCGTATCTGTATAATGTACGGTAAAAGGGCTATTTTGCATTTTTTGCCGATCCGCACACATTGGAATTTCGCTAACTCCTCCGAAGGCTTTCGTTCCACCGGCACCAAATTTGCTCAGGCCAATCTACACCCCATGGCCATTAAAAGTTGTAAAAATCATGACGCTGCACCCCATGGTTTAGGTTCTAGGGGGCGCCAAAGATAACCCTAAAATCCAAATATTTAAAAGTCTTATAACTTTTTATTTTTGTCCTCACTGGCCTCCAAGTTTTCTAGGATGATGCAATGTCCAGCCATCAACACATTTGTGAAGGAATTTTTACTCCCCAAAAGAGCGCCCCCCCATGGCAGGAGAAAAAAGTCAATTTTTTCTTGTCCCCTAAGGTGAAAATACACATTGTTGAGTGTCACGCCTGAACTCTTTGTCATATTGACACAAAAATTAACAATCATGTGTATCTCAATTAGATCTACGAAAAAGTCAAAGAGCGCGTATCTGTATAATGTACGGTAAAAGGGCTATTTTGCATTTTTTGCCGATTCGCACACATTGGAATTTCGCTAACTCCTCCGAAGGCTTTCGTCCCACTGACACCATAGTTGCTCAGGCCAATCGACAACCCATGGCCATTCAAAGTTGTACAAATCATGACGCTGCACCCCACGGTTTAGGTTCTAGGGGGCGCCAAAGATAACCCAAAAATCCACAGTCTTAAAAGTCTTATAACTTTTTATTTTTGTCCTCGCTGGCCTCCAAGTTTTCTAGGATGATGCAATGTCCAGCCATCAACACATTTGTGAAGGAATTTTTACTCCCCAAAAGAGCGCCCCCCCATGGCAGGAGAAAAAGTCAAGTTTTTCCTGCCCATCGCTCAATGGCTCAAACGCATCGCTCTCTCGGCAAAACCGAAAGGAGGAGCAACTTGCCATTTGGATATATACTAGCTGTGTTTGTGCCCTCACTCATGGTCCAGAATTTTTTCAAAAAGGACATGGAGTTTGTCTGCAGCGAGCGTTTTGGTAGAAACTGCGCCTCCCATTCATTATAATGGTAAATAACCACAGACAAGTGCGCACACCATCTTTGGACCTTGAGTGTGACGCGATCGGGAGGGGTAGGCGGTCGCGCTGGGGGCGGCGTGACACGGCTCGGGCCCGCCAGTGCCCCAACGGGGCCCTAGTTATTTTTCTGCCCCTTTGAACTGGAAAATGGCCCACTTCCCACTGGTGAAAAGTCATGAAATTTGGCAGGACGACCGGGCCTGGTGAAAAATTCGATATTCTGAAGTCGCCCAAAAAATCAAATGCAAAATGGCTCCATAGCGCCCCCTAAGGTGAAAAATTCACATGATTGAGTGTCACGCCTGTACGCTTTGTCAAAATGACACAAAATTTGACACACACGTGTATCTCAATAAGATCTACAAAAAAGTCAGTGCGGGCGTATCTGTCAAATGTACGGTTAAAGGGCTATTTCGCATTTTTTGCCGATCCGCACACATTGGAATTTCGCTAACTCCTCCGAAGGCTTTCGTTCCACCGGCACCAAATTTGCTCAGGCCAATCTACACCCCATGGCCATTGAAAGTTGTACAAATCATGACGCTGCATCCCACGGTTTACGTTCTAGGGGGCGCCAAAGATAACCCAGAAATCCACATTCTTAAAAGTCGTATAACTTTTTATTTTTGTCCTCAATGGCCTCCAAGTTTTCTAGGATGATGCAATGTCTAGCCATCAACACATTTGTGAAGGAATTTTTACTCCCCAAAAGAGCGCCCCCCCATGGCAGGAGAAAAAAGTCCAGTTTTTCTTCCCCCCTAAGGTGAAAATTCACATTATTGAGAGTCACGCCTGTACGCTTTGTCATATTCAAACAAACTTTGACAATCACGTGTTTCTCAATAAGATCTACGAAATAGTCAATGGGCGCGTATCTGTAAAATGTACGGTTAAAGGGCTATTTCGCATTTTTGGTCGATTCACACACATTGGAATGTGGCTAACTCCTCCTAAAGCTTTCGTTCCACTGACACCAAATTTACTCAGGCCAATCTACACCCCATGGCCATTCAAAGTTGTAAAAATCATGACGCTGCACCCCACGGTTTATGTTCTAGGGGGCGCCAAAGATAACCCAAAAATCCACATTCTTAAAAGTCTTATAACTTTTTATTTTTGTCCTCACTGGCCTCCAAGTTTTCTAGGATGATGCAATGTCTAGCCATCAACACATTTGTGAAGGAATTTTTACTCCCTAAAAGAGCGCCTCCCCATGGCAGGAGAAAAAGTCAAGTTTTTCCTGCCCATCGCTCAATGACTCAAACACATCGCTCTCTCGGCAAAACCGAAAGGAGGAGCAACTTGCCATTTGGATATATCCTAGCTGTGTTTGTGCCCTCACTCATGGTCCAGTCCTTTTCAAATAGGACATGTAGTTTGTCTGCGGCGAGCGTTTTGGTAGAAACTGCGCCTCCCATTCATTATAATTGTAAATGACCACAGACAAGTGCGCACACCATCTTTGGACCTTGAGTGTGACGCGATCGGTAGGGAGAGGCGGTCGTGTTGGGGGCGGCGCGACACGGCTCGGGCCCGCCAGTGCCCCAACGGGGCCCTAGTTTGTATTTGAGATGGAATACACATAATGTCAAAAACAAACCAACAAAAAATGCCTGCATTAGTTTACAACACAGCATTAAAATCCAAGCTTTTCAACCAAATGTACAAAAGCATAAAATCAGAGAGATGAATGTGGAAGAACACCATGACACTGCAAATGCTATAACTAAGCAGCACAGAGAAAACGTTGTAAAGTTTTGGTACAGATACCCAAGCAGATAGATGATCATTGAAATAGCTGGAGACATAAATGTTAGATTGTGAGTTAGATTGGCAGTTTCATCACAATTGCTCTGTATACTCTAATGACACCTAGTCTGTGTAATCCACTTAAATGATCAATTCTTTACAAAACCTTGCCTGAAAACGTCAAGTTTTTTTTGCTTTTTTTTATTGACATTTTGATTGAGAATTGATTTTAGAGCGTAAAAATCTGCTATCAAAGGTATCAATACTTTAGTATCGATCCGCTCATTACTAGGTACAGCAGATCTTCATGTTTCATGTACACTTCCATGTTTGAGGCTGACGGCAACCAGATCCTTGAGCACACACAATGTTCTATAAAGTTTAAAAAAAAACAAAAAAAAAAAAAAAGGCAATGATGTAACGGAGGCCCTGATGACATCACAAAGGCTTTGGTGATGATGTCATCAACTTTCATGTTTTCTTTGTAGTTGAAAATTAGTAAGTGGTGTACTGTTTCTGAACTATTGGTTCACTTGCAGGTGAAAACAACTTCTAGGCACTCATTCTGTTATTTCAACACAAACACAGTGTCAATACCAGAGATGGAACAAGAAATGGAAAGACGTCAATTCAAATTGGCCCAAGTACAGGCCTGTCAGCCAGAAGATAGCAGGCCCACCAGGAAATGGACAGGACATGACCGTGAATGGTGGTTCGAGGGTTGGCCAAAGAGCTGGTTAGAGCCTGAACAAAGTTCTAACCAGATATTTGAGGATTGTCAGCCAGAAGACAGCAGGCCCACCAGGAAATGGACAGGTCATGACCGTGAATGGTGGTTCGAGGGTTGGCCAAAGAGCTGGTTAGAACCTGAACAAAGTTCTAACCAGCTATTTGAGGATTGTCAGCCAGAAGATAGCAGGCCCACAGGGAAATGGACAGGACATGACCGTGAATGGTGGTTCGAGGGTTGGCCAAAGAGCTGGTTAGAACCTGAACAAAGTTCTAACCAGCTATTTGAGGATTGTCAGCCAGAAGATAGCAGGCCCACAGAGAAATGGTCAGGACATGACCGTGAATGGTGGTTCGAGGGTTGGCCAAAGAGCTGGTTAGAACCTGCACAAAGTTCTAACCAGCTATTTGAGGATTGTCAGCCAGAAGATAGCAGGCCCACAGAGAAATGGTCAGGACACGACCGTGAATGGTGGTTCGAGGGTTGGCCAAAGAGCTGGTTAGAACCTGAACAAAGTTCTAACCAGCTATTTGAGGATTGTCAGCCAGAAGATAGCAGGCCCACCAGGAAATGGACAGGACATGACCGTGAATGGTGGTTCGAGGGTTGGCCAAAGAGCTGGTTAGAACCTGAACAAAGTTCTAACCAGATATTTGAGGATTGTCAGCAAGAAGATAGCAGGCCCACCAGGAAATGGACAGGACATGACCGTGAATGGTGGTTCGAGGGTTGGCCAAAGAGCTGGTTAGAACCTGAACAGAGTTCTAACCAGATATTTGAGGATTGTCAGCCAGAAGATAGCAGGCCCACAGAGAAATGGTCAGGACATGACCGTGAATGGTGGTTCGAGGGTTGGCCAAAGAGCTGGTTAGAACCTGAACAAAGTTCTAACCAGCTATTTGAGGATTGTCAGCCAGTAGATAGCAGGCCCACCAGGAAATGGACAGGACATGACCGTGAATGGTGGTTCGAGGGTTGGCCAAAGAGCTGGTTAGAACCTGAACAAAGTTCTAACCAGATATTTGAGGATTGTCAGCCAGAAGATAGCAGGCCCACCAGGAAATGGACAGGTCATGACCGTGAATGGTGGTTTGAGGGTTGGCCAAAGAGCTGGTTAGAACCTGAACAAAGTTCTAACCAGATATTTGAGGATTGTCAGCCAGAAGATAGCAGGCCCACAGAGAAATGGTCAGGACATGACCGTGAATGGTGGTTCGAGGGTTGGCCAAAGAGCTGGTTAGAACCTGAACAAAGTTCTAACCAGATATTTGAGGATTGTCAGCAAGAAGATAGCAGGCCCACCAGGAAATGGACAGGACACGACCGTGAATGGTGGTTCGCGGGTTGGCCAAAGAGCTGGTTAGAACCTGAACAAAGTTCTAACCAGATATTTGAGGATTGTCAGCCAGAAGATAGCAGGCCCACCAGGAAATGGACAGGACATGACCGTGAATGGTGGTTCGAGGGTTGGCCAAAGAGCTGGTTAGAACCTGAACAAAGTTCTAACCAGATATTTGAGGATTGTCAGCCAGAAGATAGCAGGCCCACCAGGAAATGGACAGGACATGACCGTGATTAATTAAACCCACATCCCCCACCCACACCCACAGACACCCACCCACACACGCCAATGCACCCACAAATACACACACTAAGAGAATAGACATAAGGCTGAGTCGTCCCAAACAACCAGCATAGGGTGATTGCTTAAAACCAAACACCCCACCCACGCACACACACACACACACCCACATACACCCACTCACACACGCCAATGCACCCGCAAATACACACACACTAAAAGAATGGACATAAGGCTGAATCGTCCCATACAACCAGCATAGGGTGATTGCTTAAAACCAAACACCCCATCAACGCACACACACACACACACACACACACACACACACACACACACACACACACACACACGCACACACACACGCCAGTCTTCAGGACCATGTTTTGTTTTCCCCCCGCTAAGGAATGGCCGCAACCCAGCATAATTAGGACCCATGTCCGCCTAAGTCCCAAACAACAATGACAACGACAAAAAATTTACAATGAAATTAAAGAAATAAAAACAAATAAAATTACAAAAAATTAACGGCAATTAAAAAAAAAATAATAAATAAATTTGGCACTGTGGCTTAGTTGGTCAAAGCGCCTGTCTAGTACACAGGAAATCCTGGGTTCGAATCCCAGCAGTGCCTTTTCAACACATGACATGTGCCATATCTTCACATTCTCCACACAGTGACATGGGGAATGTCATCCATTCATTCAGAAGGGGATTACGAATTGCAGTATAATCATTGCCTTTTCACTAATTCATTTCTTTCCTGGTTGAAAATCGTAAAATCGGGTCATTCTTTGACATCCGATGACAAGCTTTCATGAATCAAAGGCTTTGTTCTAGGAATAAATGTATTTTAACTGTATACTTCTTAAAACATAATAACTACACCGGGAGCAATACAACCTGGACTAATAATTCCCCTTTTTTAATAACCCCCAAAAAGGCTATTTATTCACAGTATCATATCTTTTGTATTTGAGATGGAATACACATAATGTCAAAAACAAACCAACAAAAAATGCCTGCATTAGTTTACAACACAGCATTAAAATCCAAGCTTTTCAACCAAATGTACAAAAGCATAAAATCAGAGAGATGAATGTGGAAGAACACCATGACACTGCAAATGCTATAACTAAGCAGCACAGAGAAAACGTTGTAAAGTTTTGGTACAGATACCCAAGCAGATAGATGATCATTGAAATAGCTGGAGACATAAATGTTAGATTGTGAGTTAGATTGGCAGTTTCATCACAATTGCTCTGTATACTCTAATGACACCTAGTCTGTGTAATCCACTTAAATGATCAATTCTTTACAAAACCTTGCCTGAAAACGTCAATTTTTTTTTGCTTTTTTTTATTGACATTTTGATTGAGAATTGATTTTAGAGCGTAAAAATCTGCTATCAAAGGTATCAATACTTTAGTATCGATCCGCTCATTACTTGGTACAGCAGATCTTCATGTTTCATGTACACTTCCATGTTTGAGGCTGACGGCAACCAGATCCTTGAGCACACACAATGTTCTATAAAGTTAAAAAAAAAACAAACAAAAAAAAAAAAGGCAATGATGTAACGGAGGCCCTGATGACATCACAAAGGCTTTGGTGATGATGTCATCAACTTTCATGTTTTCTTTGTAGTTGAAAATTAGTAAGTGGTGTACTGTTTCTGAACTATTGGTTCACTTGCAGGTGAAAACAAATTCTAGGCACTCATTCTGTTATTTCAACACAAACACAGTGTCAATACCAGAGATGGAACAAGAAATGGAAAGACGTCAATTCAAATTGGCCCAAGTACAGGCCTGTCAGCCAGAAGATAGCAGGCCCACCAGGAAATGGACAGGACATGACCGTGAATGGTGGTTCGAGGGTTGGCCAAAGAGCTGGTTAGAACCTGAACAAAGTTCTAACCAGCTATTTGAGGATTGTCAGCCAGAAGATAGCAGGCCCACCAGGAAATGGACAGGACATGACCGTGAATGGTGGTTCGAGGGTTGGCCAAAGAGCTGGTTAGAACCTGAACAAAGTTCTAACCAGATATTTGAGGATTGTCAGCCAGAAGATAGCAGGCCCACCAGGAAATGGACAGGTCATGACCGTGAATGGTGGTTCGAGGGTTGGCCAAAGAGCTGGTTAGAACCTGAACAAAGTTCTAACCAGATATTTGAGGATTGTCAGCCAGAAGATAGCAGGCCCACAGAGAAATGGTCAGGACACGACCGTGAATGGTGGTTCGAGGGTTGGCCAAAGAGCTGGTTAGAACCTGAACAAAGTTCTAACCAGATATTTGAGGATTGTCAGCCAGAAGATAGCAGGCCCACCAGGAAATGGACAGGACATGACCGTGAATGGTGGTTCGAGGGTTGGCCAAAGAGCTGGTTAGAACCTGAACAAAGTTCTAACCAGATATTTGAGGATTGTCAGCCAGAAGATAGCAGGCCCACCAGGAAATGGACAGGACATGACCGTGAATGGTGGTTCGAGGGTTGGCCAAAGAGCTGGTTAGAACCTGAACAGAGTTCTAACCAGATATTTGAGGATTGTCAGCCAGAAGATAGCAGGCCCACAGAGAAATGGTCAGGACATGACCGTGAATGGTGGTTCGAGGGTTGGCCAAAGAGCTGGTTAGAACCTGAACAAAGTTCTAACCAGATATTTGAGGATTGTCAGCCAGAAGATAGCAGGCCCACAGAGAAATGGTCAGGACATGACCATGAATGGTGGTTCGAGGGTTGGCCAAAGAGCTGGTTAGAACCTGAACAAAGTTCTAACCAGATATTTGAGGATTGTCAGCCAGAAGATAGCAGGCCCACCAGGAAATGGACAGGACATGACCGTGAATGGTGGTTCGAGGGTTGGCCAAAGAGCTGGTTAGAACCTGAACAGAGTTCTAACCAGATATTTGAGGATTGTCAGCCAGAAGATAGCAGGCCCACAGAGAAATGGTCAGGACATGACCGTGAATGGTGGTTCGAGGGTTGGCCAAAGAGCTGGTTAGAACCTGCACAAAGTTCTAACCAGATATTTGAGGATTGTCAGCCAGAAGATAGCAGGCCCACACAAGAATGGACAGGACATGACCGTGAATGGTGGTTCGAGGGTTGGCCAAAGAGCTGGTTAGAACCTGAACAAAGTTCTAACCAGATATTTGAGGATTGTCAGCCAGAAGATAGCAGGCCCACCAGGAAATGGACAGGACATGACCGTGAATGGTGGTTCGAGGGTTGGCCAAAGAGCTGGTTAGAACCTGAACAAAGTTCTAACCAGCTATTTGAGGATTGTCAGCCAGAAGATAGCAGGCCCACCAGGAAATGGACAGGACATGACCGTGAATGGTGGTTCGAGGGTTGGCCAAAGAGCTGGTTAGAACCTGAACAGAGTTCTAACCAGATATTTGAGGATTGTCAGCCAGAAGATAGCAGGCCCACAGAGAAATGGTCAGGACATTACCGTGAATGGTGGTTCGAGGGTTGGCCAAAGAGCTGGTTAGAACCTGAACAAAGTTCTAACCAGATATTTGAGGATTGTCAGCCAGAAGATAGCAGGCCCACAGAGAAATGGTCAGGACATGACCGTAAATGGTGGTTCGAGGGTTGGCCAAAGAGCTGGTTAGAACCTGCACAAAGTTCTAACCAGATATTTGAGGATTGTCAGCAAGAAGATAGCAGGCCCACAGAAGAATGGACAGGAAATGACCGTGAATGGTGGTTCGAGGGTTGGCCAAAGAGCTGGTTAGAACCTGAACAAAGTTCTAACCAGATATTTGAGGATTGTCAGCCAGAAGATAGCAGGCCCACCAGGAAATGGACAGGACATGACCGTGAATGGTGGTTCGAGGGTTGGCCAAAGAGCTGGTTAGAACCTGAACAGAGTTCTAACCAGATATTTGAGGATTGTCAGCCAGAAGATAGCAGGCCCACAGAGAAATGGTCAGGACATGACTGTGAATGGTGGTTCGAGGGTTGGCCAAAGAGCTGGTTAGAACCTGCACAAAGTTCTAACCAGATATTTGAGGATTGTCAGCAAGAAGATAGCAGGCCCACAGAAGAATGGACAGGACATGACCGTGAATGGTGGTTCGAGGGTTGGCCAAAGAGCTGGTTAGAACCTGAACAAAGTTCTAACCAGATATTTGAGGATTGTCAGCCAGAAGATAGCAGGCCCACCAGGAAATGGACAGGACATGACCGTGAATGGTGGTTCGAGGGTTGGCCAAAGAGCTGGTTAGAACCTGAACAAAGTTCTAACCAGCTATTTGAGGATTGTCAGCCAGAAGATAGCAGGCCCACCAGGAAATGGACAGGACATGACCGTGAATGGTGGTTCGAGGGTTGGCCAAAGAGCTGGTTAGAACCTGAACAAAGTTCGAACCAGCTATTTGAGGATTAGCCAAAGAGCTGGTTAGAATCTGAATAAAGTTCTAACCAGCTCGAGGGAAGGGAAGAAATGGAGATGGCCAGATGGAGGTGATTGAATCAGACCCTGAGCCTCTGGTAAAAAAGGTGGTGGTTCATCGAGCTACCCAGACCTTAGTAATGGAGGATAAGGTGATTAATTAAACCCACATCCCCCACCCACACCCACAGACACCCACCCACACACGCCAATGCACCCGCAAATACACACACTAAGAGAATAGACATAAGGCTGAGTCGTCCCAAACAACCAGCATAGGGTGATTGCTTAAACCCAAACACCCCACCCACTCACACACACACACACACCCACATACACCCACTCACACACGCCAATGCACCCGCAAATACACACACACTAAGAGAATGGACATAAGGCTGAATCGTCCCAAACAACCAGCATAGGGTGTTTGCTTAAAACCAAACACCCCATCCACGCACACACACACACACACACACACACACACGCCAGTCTTCAGGACCATGTTTTGTTTTCCCCCCGCTAAGGAATGGCCGCAACCCAGCATAATTACGCATAATTAGGACCCATGTCCGCCTAAGTCCCAAACAACAATGACAACGACAAAAAATTTACAATGAAATTAAAGAAATAAAAACAAATAAAATTACAAAAAATTAACGGCAATTTAAAAAAAAAAAAAAAAAAATCTTTGGCACTGTGGCTTAGTTGGTCAAAGCGCCTGTCTAGTACACAGGAAATCCTGGGTTCGAATCCCAGCGGTGCCTTTTCAACACATGGCATGTGCCATATCTTCACATTCTCCACACAGTGACATGGGGAATGTCATCCATTCATTCAGAAGGGGATTACGAATTGCAGTATAATCATTGCCTTTTCACTAATTCATTTCTGTCCTGGTTGAAAATCGTAAAATCGGGTCATTCTTTGACTTCCGATGACAAGCTTTCATGAATCAAAGGCTTTGTTCTAGGAATAAATGTATTTTAACTGTATACTTCTTAAAACATAATAACTACACCAGGAGCAATACAACCTGGACTAATAATTCCCCTTTTTTAATAACCCCCAAAAAGGCTATTTATTCACAGTATCATATCTTTTGTATTTGAGATGGAATACACATAATGTCAAAAACAAACCAACAAAAAATGCCTGCATTAGTTTACAACACAGCATTAAAATCCAAGCTTTTCAACCAAATGTACAAAAGCATAAAATCAGAGAGATGAATGTGGAAGAACACCATGACACTGCAAATGCTATAACTAAGCAGCACAGAGAAAACGTTGTAAAGTTTTGGTACAGATACCCAAGCAGATAGATGATCATTGAAATAGCTGGAGACATAAATGTTAGATTGTGAGTTAGATTGGCAGTTTCATCACAATTGCTCTGTATACTCTAATGACACCTAGTCTGTGTAATCCACTTAAATGATCAATTCTTTACAAAACCTTGCCTGAAAACGTCAAGTTTTTTTTGCTTTTTTTTATTGACATTTTGATTGAGAATTGATTTTAGAGCGTAAAAATCTGCTATCAAAGGTATCAATACTTTAGTATCGATCCGCTCATTACTAGGTACAGCAGATCTTCATGTTTCATGTACACTTCCATGTTTGAGGCTGACAGCAACCAGATCCTTGAGCACACACAATGTTCTATAAAGTTTAAAAAAAAACAAAAACAAATAAAAAGGCAATGATGTAACGGAGGCCCTGATGACATCACAAAGGCTTGGGTGATGATGTCATCAACTTTCATGTTTTCTTTGTAGTTGAAAATTAGTAAGTGGTGTACTGTTTCTGAACTATTGGTTCACTTGCAGGTGAAAACAAATTCTAGGCACTCATTCTGTTATTTCAACACAAACACAGTGTCAATACCAGAGATGGAACAAGAAATGGAAAGACGTCAATTCAAATTGGCCCAAGTACAGGCCTGTCAGCCAGAAGATAGCAGGCCCACCAGGAAATGGACAGGACATGACCGTGAATGGTGGTTCGAGGGTTGGCCAAAGAGCTGGTTAGAACCTGAACAAAGTTCTAACCAGATATTTGAGGATTGTCAGCCAGAAGATAGCAGGCCCACCAGGAAATGGACAGGACATGACCGTGAATGGTGGTTCGAGGGTTGGCCAAAGAGCTGGTTAGAACCTGAACAAAGTTCTAACCAGATATTTGAGGATTGTCAGCCAGAAGATAGCAGGCCCACAGAGAAATGGTCAGGACATGACCGTGAATGGTGGTTCGAGGGTTGGCCAAAGAGCTGGTTAGAACCTGAACAGAGTTCTAACCAGATATTTGAGGATTGTCAGCCAGAAGATAGCAGGCCCACAGAGAAATGGTCAGGACATGACCGTGAATGGTGGTTCGAGGGTTGGCCAAAGAGCTGGTTAGAACCTGAACAGAGTTCTAACCAGATATTTGAGGATTGTCAGCCAGAAGATAGCAGGCCCACAGAGAAATGGTCAGGACATGACCGTGAATGGTGGTTCGAGGGTTGGCCAAAGAGCTGGTTAGAACCTGCACAAAGTTCTAACCAGATATTTGAGGATTGTCAGCGAGAAGATAGCAGGCCCACAGAAGAATGGACAGGACATGACTGTGAATGGTGGTTCGAGGGTTGGCCAAAGAGCTGGTTAGAACCTGAACAAAGTTCTAACCAGATATTTGAGGATTGTAAGCCAGAAGATAGCAGGCCCACCAGGAAATGGACAGGACATGACCGTGAATGGTGGTTCGAGGGTTGGCCAAAGAGCTGGTTAGAACCTGAACAGAGTTCTAACCAGATATTTGAGGATTGTCAGCCAGAAGATAGCAGGCCCACAGAGAAATGGTCAGGACATGACCGTGAATGGTGGTTCGAGGGTTGGCCAAAGAGCTGGTTAGAACCTGCACAAAGTTCTAACCAGATATTTGAGGATTGTCAGCAAGAAGATAGCAGGCCCACAGAAGAATGGACAGGACATGACCGTGAATGGTGGTTCGAGGGTTGGCCAAAGAGCTGGTTAGAACCTGAACAAAGTTCTAACCAGATATTTGAGGATTGTCAGCCAGAAGATAGCAGGCCCACCAGGAAATGGACAGGACATGACTGTGAATGGTGGTTCGAGGGTTGGCCAAAGAGCTGGTTAGAACCTGAACAAAGTTCTAACCAGCTATTTGAGGATTGTCAGCCAGAAGATAGCAGGCCCACCAGGAAATGGACAGGACATGACCGTGAATGGTGGTTCGAGGGTTGGCCAAAGAGCTGGTTAGAACCTGAACAAAGTTCGAACCAGCTATTTGAGGATTAGCCAAAGAGCTGGTTAGAATCTGAATAAAGTTCTAACCAGCTCGAGGGAAGGGAAGAAATGGAGATGGCCAGATGGAGGTGATTGAATCAGACCCTGAGCCTCTGGTAAAAAAGGTGGTGGTTCATCGAGCTACCCAGACCTTAGTAATGGAGGATAAGGTGATTAATTAAACCCACATCCCCCACCCACACCCACAGACACCCACCCACACACGCCAATGCACCCGCAAATACACACACTAAGAGAATAGACATAAGGCTGAGTCGTCCCAAACAACCAGCATAGGGTGATTGCTTAAACCCAAACACCCCACCCACTCACACACACACACACACACCCACATACACCCACTCACACACGCCAATGCACCCGCAAATACACACACACTAAGAGAATTGACATAAGGCTGAATCGTCCCAAACAACCAGCATAGGGTGTTTGCTTAAAACCAAACACCCCATCCACGCACACACACACACACACACACACACACACACACACACACACACATACTGGTTTCCATGGTTGATGAGGACCAATGTTTTGATCATTACTTCCGGGGACCACCCTTTCTAAAGGCTCTGGAGGACTGAAAAAAATCAAGTAGACTAAACAGAGGCCCACATAGCTCATACACAACTTCAAATGTCTGAATTGATGAGTTGATGTTGTCCCCATCCTAAGTGGGGACCTATAAAGAACCGGTTGAATGTTACTGATGGGGACTAAATTTAAATATCATTTGCATAATTTTGCATTTTTAACACAACAATGGTCATGATTATTGGGGACTTAGCAATAAATGTACTATTATTATATCTAAATGTAGTAAATCCTCTGGTTATTGCATTTCTTTTTAAAGTTTAATGTGTGGATGGACTCTAAGCAGGAATAAAAGATACATTTGTTGCAAATCAATCACACAACTTCGTTATTTTGACTAGTTTCAATATGTAAATAAAGAGGTGAAGTTTGGGGTCTGAAAAGGTTTAAGTGATCCAAAGGATCACTTTTGCAAAAGTCTTGCTGTATATGTTGCCACCTTAAGAGCTTGTTAAGAGATTGAAATGTATTCATAGGTCTAATGATATCATCTGTATCATTAAAGTAATATTCATAAATAAGGTAAAGACTCTCTATTCTAATGAATAATTTTAATACATTTTAACCACAACCGCCCAGCTTTAGCCCCAGCTCCTCAACCTCCTGACACCTTGTGTGAAATCAGCAAATGAACTTCGAGGCACCAGAATTTTTTAAATGGCAACACTCAATTTTTAATGAATACAACTCCTGAAATAAATCCAACACACCAACAAAAAGTTTGGAGTCAAATAGATAACAAAAAAAAAGAAAAAAATCTTAATGCCTGAGTTCTGCAAAGTGATTACATCACCATCATTCTATCATCAGTGTGAATTTAAGTAGACACCCAACAATATCACATTTAGTATAAACTCACTCAAACTTCTAACAATTTCAAGTCTTAATGCCTGAGTTCTCCATAGGAACTGAAAATGTGAACTGTGGACACAAAAGAAGGTCTTCAGTAACCAGATTAAACAAGGAAAAACATCACTCAGCAGACTGAGAGAAAAAGGAAAAGTGTGGAGGGTTTTACGCTTCCTTGCAAATAACTAACTGATTTTAGTTGGCACTGAAACACTGAACATACAATGCAGAAGGAGGCAGTGTGTTCAGTGTGATCCACAAGTGAATATTAACAAAAAATGACCTACCGTAGGAATGGTTATCTCAAATTACTGAAGTTGCACTTTCCTTTTGAAAGCTGTAATGCGGTTGTACACATAGAACTTTACGTTCTGCCAGGTGTGGTCCTTCAGAGCTTCTGGTTCAGCACTTAAACACTTCTGACAGTCGCTTTTGGATGGTACAATGCAGGATGTAATGAATCTTTTCAGGTGCCTTTCCACCGCCTGCACCTCTTTCTGTTGCCAGGGCATTTTCTTCTGTTTTTTCTGGGGAGCTTTGCCTTGAGGCGGCCAGAAAAACAAAATTGTGATTAAAAAAGGGGCAAAGAAAAATAATTAGTGTATGCCATTTTTTGTAGATATTTGCGCCGATGAATAGAAATACATTTTCATCTGTGTGATTTCCTTACATTTATTTCATGCCTGAATGTAAACAGTAAGGACTGTTTTTAATGTAAATAAAATAATTTTCAAAAAGTTCAACTCTTGAAAATAACATTTAGTTCATGAAGCTATGAACGTTACTGTTTCTTATTGAAATAAATGTGCTGCACATTTTGTACATGCACTCCTGCATAATTGTTATTACTGCATTGGGGTTATCCTCTAAAATGAATTGAAAAAGCCCTGTATTTAACGGAATAAGCATGAAACCCTTGACAAGATCCTAAGCATTGTAATCTTGATATTTCTGTGCAACTAAAGCAAAACAAATCAGTTGCAACAGTGACAATTCTACACCAAAATGTTTAAATCAAAATAATTATTAATTAAAACAGCAAAGACGAAAATCAGGTGTGAATTCAAGCAGCTTAGTTACCTTTGGAGGAAGGCTTCATAGCCCCACCTGGAGGTACCTCATCACCTGGTGATGGTGGTCTGCGTCTTTTGGATGCTGACTGCTGCATTTCACTCTCTTCTGTAGGAGGACACAACCCCTCTGCTGATGGTTCTATGGACAAAGACCAAATTCCACATTTTCAAGAAGTGTAGAGAAATTGATATTTATTTATGAATGTCAATTATATCATCTCGTTGAGCACACATCTCCTCAAACTCAGAGGTGATGGATAATCACCAAAATTTGTGTAGTCTCTCTCCATCTCTTTATGAGCATGTTCAGAGTATTTTGCAAAAAAAAGACAAAGTTCAAGATTAATTTGACATGACAGTGTCATTTTTTGCCAAGTTTTCTATAAAGAGTGAATTTCTTTTGGCCCATGATAAAAATCTTATGCCATGACAGACCCAAGTAAAGATTTCTTGATAACTTACTCTCCCTTTCAACTGTCAGTTAATTAAAAGATTGAGATGGGGGACTAACAATTTTTACCAGAGGGTTAGAGTACAACTAGTGTATTAGAATAGCTGGTAACTGGTATGTCATCAGTAATTAACTGACAAGACATACCTTCAACAGTAGAAGTTTCCCCCTGGATGCTCCTGTCATCCTCTTCTTCTTCACTGTCAAGAACTTTTTCTGTGAAAGTAGTACAGAGTACATTCTTCCAATGTGAATTAAATCATCTGGTAAACAAAGCAAAACAAAAAAGTCAAATAAAATAACTTACCATCTGGCTCTATCCTTATTTCATCTAAGTTCTTGCCATGAAAGTCAGATAATCTTCCTTGCTCAAGTGCCATTAGAACCTTGCTTATCTTGGCAAGCTGTAGGGTCTTTTCAGGGAGTCTGTAGAACTCTCGGTGGATTCTGATGTCATGGCCAAGAAAGTTGGCCAGCTGGTCCATCTCCGTATCTGTCATGTTAAGCACTGTCGAAAGAGTTGCAGCATGCTTTCGAAGTCTGGTCGATGTCAGTGACCTTGGACACTTTGCATTGCACCCCTTTGCAAAGCTACGGAGGCAGTCTGAACCTCGGAAATGTGACATTGCTCCTGGTCTTGCGAACATATAACAGTTTTCATTTAGAACCCCACAAGCCTCTCTCTGTTTGACAAGGAGTTCCAGTAAACACAGCATTTTTGGAGTCAGAAGTATTGGGACAGGCCGACCACGTTTACCTCTGATGACAATCCTTGAGAAGTGTCTGCACAGCTTTTTCTCCACTTCAGAGAGTGCCCAGTCCACATCCTCATGTGCATCAGTGGAGTCTCTTGATAAAAATGCTGATAAGGGCATGCTTGACACCTCACCCTCCCTGCGACGGTTAAAGAGAATAATCTGGGCCAAACACACCTTTGCCAGCTCCATCCAGGCTCTTGTAGAGGGAGTTTCTGAGAGAGATTTGTGCCACTCATCTTGCATTTGACTGAGATAAGTGTGCATCTTTTGGACATCTTGGGTAAAGGGCATAAGAGTAGGGACATTCCACTTTGCTTCCCTGATGTTTCTCAAGGCAGTTGCTGAGATCACTTCATTCCACTTCTCCTGATGCACCTCTTGAAACCCACTGGCATTCTTCACAAGCTCGTTGTTGTTGGATATTAAACCCTGAGCTTTTAATAGTTTGCTTGCTTTAACCAGGGCATTTCCAAGTTTGATAGCCAGTGATGGAATGAGGAACTTGTTTGTGTCACTTTCATACCCACATGTAAGCTTGACAGCTTTGACAGTCTCCATGTACTTCTCTGGATTGATGAGGTCCTCCATTTTGTTTAATGTGGTGCCTCTCCTGGCACTCTTGATCAACCTTCCCAATTCTCGCATCTTCTCTCTCACATTCTGTTTATTTTTGTCTGATGACCCACCTTTGTTTAGCAAGTGTTGTCCAATATCAAGAATGACTTTGTCATTTTTTATGATGTCAGTGATTGGGTCAGGATTCATGCTACTGATTACTTCCCACAGTTCTTTTTTTATGTAGGAAGGCACAGGTTCTGCATATTTACACATGGACTGGACACGGTTCTTTCCTGGTTTGGGGGTGACTGATTCAGGTCTGAGTCTACATCTACGCATGTGTCGCCACAGGACTTTTCTGGTAAAAAGTGCTTGGCAATATGCACAATGCATAAAGTCCTTTCCCTCTAACTCTTCAACTGGTCGTTTGAATGCAACAAGTTTCCCCTTTCCTGACTCCATGACTGCAGCATTGTGTGCAAAGTTCCCTTGGTTGCGAATATAATCTAGTTGTAATTTTCTTTTCTTGGAGCCCTTTGGAAAGCTTAGAGCTTTGGCTACACTGGATATATCCATATGTGCAGCCTCTAGATGTCTGGCCATCTTCGCATAAGGCTTAGAGCAATACAGACAATAATGTCTTTTGTCATAAACTCTTTTCCCAGCTCTCTTTTGGCATGCAGTAACAACTATCACGTCATTTATGTTCTGACTTGAGCAAGGCTCTTCTTCTGCTCCAGTGGCTTTGGATGGAAGAAAGAGATGGTCTGGCGTTGTGCTGTCAACTTCAGGGGAGCTCACTGGGTCAGGAACATAAGTTTTGTCAGCAAGAGACCTTTGAGTCTTTGGGCTAAGGTGAAGGCTAGTATCACTATCACTGTCACTTTCGCATGTGGTATCTGGAATGTAATCATCTCCACTCTCAGATGCAGAATCATACAGTTCAGCAGAATCTTCAAGATTTATGTCTTTCATCTAAAAAAAGAAATGTAATTCAAAATATGTAAAACTTTCAATTTGGTTAACAAACAGTACAGAGAAATATTCAAGGGAAACATATGTTATGGACTGATTTTGTTATTTCAGTTTTGGAAAGCATGTACAATTATGCTCAATTGCTTCTTTACAGTGTTCACTAAGACAAAACCTCTGCCAGGTCTTGGTAACCATGAGGCCACTCAGTTATATTTGCACACAACTTTGGCCTTGACAAGAGACAGGTCTCTCACTTAAGTGAAAAACAGCCAAAGATCCAGACTAGTAACATTTCTAAGATGCAATGAGACAGGTGTCTACTCTCATGTTTTAAACACAGTTAGATTAATATTGCATATTCATGATCTGACTTTAAACCTTACATCAAATTTGCTGAAAACTAAGACAAAAAAAATTCTTCAGAGATGTTTTGAATACTGAAATGTGGAATGTCTTTACATTTGCCATTTCCCTCAGCTTTGAGAAAAAGTCAGAGGCATTCAAGGCTCTCATATTTAATGACTTCAATTTTGAAACTTACAATGACACTTTTGGTCCGTCTCAACTTTGGCACAGAGATCTCAACGTCACTCTGAGAGGCGACAATCTGACAACAAAAGAAACTATAAACATCATATTTCCAATATAACAGAATATACACTTAATAAAATTGAATTGTCCCTTTACTACCAAATTTTATCAGTGCAGTGGATATATTGGCAGTATGGCATTTTTTAAGGCTGTGTTAAGCATGTAAAAAGCTAGTACATTACAGATAAGGTGCCTTGATGTTTATATTAAATAATATATGCAGGATTTTTCTATTGACCACAACAGGCTTTGTGGGGACACTTCACACACTAGATTAAGCTGCCTTGTGGGGACCACATGTGTCTGAATCTGCTTCTCTACCCAGAGTGAGAAACTGACTCAAAGTGTCTTATGGGGACATCTTAAGTGTTTTTACAATACACTGATAATAAATCAATAAGAAAACTCCAGAGCAGGCTCAGTCCAAAACCTGTATCTCATACAAACCACCAAGCTTCTATGTTCTTTACATTTGACTGCCCAGTGCACTGGTTGAAACTGAATTTCATGATTTTTTACCCTATTTTGTCACTTTTTAGCATTGTAAGACATCAAATATGACAGAAGAATGGTTTTAATATGAAATGTAAGGTTATAAATATGACTCACCTGATTAGAGGTGCTATCTTGACCAATGGTGTCATCTTTGGTAGCCTGTGGCTGTGTGGAGGGATTGGGGATGTCCACCTCCATGTTGTGCAGTAGGCACCTAGTCTCCTGTGGATCAAATCACAAAAATATATTTGATTTAGAAAAATTAAAAAAGAATAAATTTGCCATAACTACATTATAATACACATGGAATTTTTCTATTGAACACAACAGGCTTTGTGGGGACGCGTCACACACTAGATTAAGCTGCCTTAAGGGGACCACATGTGTCTGAATCTGGTCCTCTACCCAGAGTGAGAAACTGACTCAAAGTGTCTTATGGGGACATCGTAAGTGTTTACAATACACTGATAATAAATCAATAAGAAAACTCCAGAGCAGGCTCAGACCAAAACCTGTATCTCATACAAACCACCAAGCTTCTATGTTGTTTACATTTGACTGCCCAGTGCACTGGTTCAAACTGAATTTCATGATTTTTTACCCTATTTTTTCACTTTTTAGCATTGTAAGACATCAAACATGACAAAAAAATTGTAATAACATGAAATGTTAGGTGATAAATATGACTCACCTGATCAGAGGTGCTATCTTGACCAATGGTGTCATCTTTGGTAGCCTGTGGCTGGGTGGAGGGATTGGGGATGTCCACCTCCCAGTTATGCAGTAGGCCCCTAGTCTCCTGTGGATCAAATAACAAAAATATATTTGATTTAGAGAAATAAAAAAAGAATAAATTTGCCATAACTACATTAAAATACACATGGAATTTTTCTAAAAACACAACAGGCTTTGTGGGGACGCGTCACACACGAGATTAAGCTGCCTTGTGGGGACCAGATGTGTCTGAATCTGCTTCTCTACCCAGAGTGAGAAACTGACTCAAAGTGTCTTATGGGGACATTGTAAGTGTTTACAATTCACTGATAATAAATCAATAAGAAAACTCCAGAGCAGGCTCAAACCAAAACATTTATCTTATACAAACCACCAAGCTTCTATGTTGTTTACATTTGACTGCCCAGTGCACTGGTTCAAACTGAATTTCATGATTTTTTACCCTATTTTTTCACTTTTTAGCAATGTAAGACATCAAATCTGACAGAAGAATGGTTTTAATATGAAATGTAAGGTGATAAATATGACTCACCTGATTAGAGGTGCTATCTTGACCAATGGTGTCATCTTTGGTAGCCTGTGGCTGTGTGGAGGGATTGGGGATTTCCACCTCCATGTTGTTCAGTAGGCCCCTAGTCTCCTGTGGATACACATTACAAAATATATTTGATTTGGAGAAATTGAAACTTGAATAAATTTGCCATAACTACATTAAAATACACATGGAATTTTTCTAAAAACACAACAGGCTTTGTGGGGACGCGTCACACACGAGATTAAGCTGCCTTGTGGGGACCATATGTGTCTGAATCTGCTTCTCTACCCAGAGTGAGAAACTGACTCAAAGTGTCTTATGGGGACATTGTAAGTGTTTACAATTCACTGATAATAAATCAATAAGAAAACTCCAGAGCAGGCTCAAACCAAAACATTTATCTTATACAAACCACCAAGCTTCTATGTTCATTACATTTGACTGCCCAGTGCACTGGTTCAAACTGAATTTCATGATTTTTTACCCTATTTTTTCACTTTTTAGCATTGTAAGACATCAAACATGACAAAAAATTGTAATAAAATGAAATGTAAGGTGATAAATATGACTCACCTGATCAGAGGTGCTATCTTGACCAATGGTGTCATCTTTGGTAGCCTGTGGCTGTGTGGAGGGATTGGGGATGTCCACCTCCCAGTTATGCAGTAGGCCCCTAGTCTCCTGTGGATCAAATAACAAAAATATGTTTGATTTAGAGAAATAAAAAAAGAATAAATTTGCCATAACTATATTAAAATACACATGGAATTTTTCTAAAAACACAACAGGCTTTGTGGGGACGCGTCACACACGAGATTAAGCTGCCTTGTGGGGACCAGATGTGTCTGAATCTGCTTCTCTACCCAGAGTGAGAAACTGACTCAAAGTGTCTTATGGGGACATTGTAAGTGTTTACAATTCACTGATAATAAATCAATAAGAAAACTCCAGAGCAGGCTCAAACCAAAACATTTATCTTATACAAACCACCAAGCTTCTATGTTCTTTACATTTGACTGCCCAGTGCACTGGTTCAAACTGAATTTCATGATTTTTTACCCTATTTTTTCACTTTTTAGCATTGTAAGACATCAACCATGACAAAAAATTGTAATAAAATGAAATGTAAGGTGATAAATATGACTCACCTGATCAGAGGTGCTATCTTGACCAATGGTGTCATCTTTGGTAGCCTGTGGCTGGGTGGAGGGATTGGGGATGTCCACCTCCCAGTTATGCAGTAGGCCCCTAGTCTCCTGTGGATCAAATAACAAAAATATATTTGATTTAGAGAAATAAAAAAAGAATAAATTTGCCATAACTACATTAAAATACACATGGAATTTTTCTAAAAACACAACAGGCTTTGTGGGGACGCGTCACACACGAGATTAAGCTGCCTTGTGGGGACCATATGTGTCTGAATCTGCTTCTCTACCCAGAGTGAGAAACTGACTCAAAGTGTCTTATGGGGACATTGTAAGTGTTTACAATTCACTGATAATAAATCAATAAGAAAACTCCAGAGCAGGCTCAGACCAAAACCTGTATCTCATACAAACCACCAAGCTTCTATGTTGTTTACATTTGACTGCCCAGTGCACTGGTTCAAACTGAATTTCATGATTTTTTACCCTATTTTTTCACTTTTTAGCAATGTAAGACATCAAATCTGACAGAAGAATGGTTTTAATATGAAATGTAAGGTGATAAATATGACTCACCTGATTAGAGGTGCTATCTTGACCAATGGTGTCATCTTTGGTAGCCTGTGGCTGTGTGGAGGGATTGGGGATGTCCACCTCCATGTTGTTCAGTAGGCCCCTAGTCTCCTGTGGATACACATTACAAAATATATTTGATTTGGAGAAATTGAAACTTGAATAAATTTGCCATAACTACATTATAATACACATGGATTTTTTCTAAAAACACAATACACTTTGTGGGGACACTTCACACACTAGATTAAGCTGCCTTGTTGGGACCACATGTGTCTGAATCTGCCTCTTTACCCAGAGTGAGAAATTACTCAAAGTGTCTTATGGGGACACCGTAAGTGTTTACAATACACTGATAATAAATCAATAAGAAAACTCCAGAGCAGTCTCAGACCAAAACCTGTATCTCTTACAAACCACCAAGCTTCTATGTTCTTTACATTTGACTGCCCAGTGCACTGGTTGAAACTGAATTTCATGATTTTTTACCCTATTTTTTCACTTTTTAGCATTGTAAGACATCAAATCTAACAGAAGAATGGTTTTAATATGAAATGTAAGGTGATAAATATGACTCACCTGATCAGAGGTGCTATCTTGACCAATGGTGTCATCTTTGGTAGCCTGTGGCTGGATGGAGGGATTGGGGATGTCCACCTCCGGGTTATGCAGTAGGCCCCTAGTCTCCTGTGGATCAAATAACAAAAATATATTTGATTTGGAGAAATTGAAACTTGAATAAATTTGCCATAACTACATTATAATACACATGGAATTTTTCTATTGACCACAACAGGCTTTGTGGGGACACTTCACACACTAGATTAAGCTGCCTTGTGGGGACCAGATGTGTCTGAATCTGGTCCTCTACCCAGAGTGAGAAACTGACTCAAAGTGTCTTATGGGGACATCGTAAGTGTTTACAATTCACTGATAATAAATCAATAAGAAAACTCCAGAGCAGGCTCAAACCAAAACATTTATCTTATACAAACCACCAAGCTTCTATGTTGTTTACATTTGACTGCCCAGTGCACTGGTTTAAACTGAATTTCATGATTTTTTACCCTATTTTGTCACTTTTTAGCATTGTAAGACATCAAATCTGACAGAAGAATGGTTTTAATATGAAATGTAAGGTGATAAATATGACTCACCTGATCAGAGGTGCTATCTTGACCAATGGTGTCATCTTTGGTAGCCTGTGGCTGGGTGGAGGGATTGGGGATGTCCACCTCCCAGTTATGCAGTAGGCCCCTAGTCTCCTGTGGATCAAATAACAAAAATATATTTGATTTAGAGAAATAAAAAAAGAATAAATTTGCCATAACTACATTAAAATACACATGGAATTTTTCTAAAAACACAACAGGCTTTGTGGGGACGCGTCACACACGAGATTAAGCTGCCTTGTGGGGACCAGATGTGTCTGAATCTGCTTCTCTACCCAGAGTGAGAAACTGACTCAAAGTGTCTTATGGGGACATTGTAAGTGTTTACAATTCACTGATAATAAATCAATAAGAAAACTCCAGAGCAGGCTCAAACCAAAACATTTATCTTATACAAACCACCAAGCTTCTATGTTGTTTACATTTGACTGCCCAGTGCACTGGTTCAAACTGAATTTCATGATTTTTTACCCTATTTTTTCACTTTTTAGCAATGTAAGACATCAAATCTGACAGAAGAATGGTTTTAATATGAAATGTAAGGTGATAAATATGACTCACCTGATTAGAGGTGCTATCTTGACCAATGGTGTCATCTTTGGTAGCCTGTGGCTGTGTGGAGGGATTGGGGATGTCCACCTCCATGTTGTTCAGTAGGCCCCTAGTCTCCTGTGGATACACATTACAAAATATATTTGATTTAGAGAAATTGAAACTTGAATAAATTTGCCATAACTACATTATAATACACATGGATTTTTTCTAAAAACACAATACACTTTGTGGGGACACTTCACACACTAGATTAAGCTGCCTTGTGGGGACCAGATGTGTCTGAATCTGCTTCTCTACCCAGAGTGAGAAATTACTCAAAGTGTCTTATGGGGACATCGTAAGTGTTTACAATACACTGATAATAAATCAACAAGAAAACTCCAGAGCAGGCTCAAACCAAAACCTTTATCTTATACAAACCACCAAGCTTCTATGTTGTTTACATTTGACTGCCCAGTGCACTGGTTCAAACTGAATTTCATGATTTTTTACCCTATTTTGTCACTTTTTAGCATTGTAAGACATCAAATCTGACAGAAGAATGGTTTTAATATGAAATGTAAGGTGATAAATATGACTCACCTGATCAGAGGTGCTATCTTGACCAATGGCATCATCTTTGGTAGCCTTCAGCTGGGTGGAGGGATTGGGGATGTCCACCTCCAGGAAGTTTAGTAGGGTCCTGGCCTCCTGTTGATACACATTGTAAAACTATAAATTTTGATAGTGAATACTTATTAGACTTGATAAAAAATGCACTGAATTAAACACATGTTAAGAACACTTCACTGGGGGCTGAGATGGATGCAATGTACCTTTTGGCGAGTATGCTTTATGTGCTTATCCTTTGGGACATTGGAGTGGAGGGACTTGCTTGACCCTTTCACAGTTTCCTCAGCCACCTTTGAACATATTAATTTTTATGTATCTTGAATTACTTTTTTACTTCAGTTTTAAAAAATGAGCCAATCTTAGTGCAACATACTTGTGTTCGCCATGGGCAGTCAGCATCTCCATAATCATAGGTTATTTCTTCTCCCTCTTTAATGTCGTTCAGTGCAAACAAACAAAGGTGTGGGTTTCCGGTCACCTCAATTTTTTTCATCTTACAGTTTGGAGACCTGTGTTCATCATTGACCAGTCGCCCATATGATTCATCTTCTCTTGATGCATCAATGCTTGAAAAATCAAAACACAAGACAATGAGAAACTAAATATCACAGTATTTCTTAAGAAAGTCAAAACCCTTTGATAGTAGAGTGTCATCCTACCACCATGTTTTCCCTCTCCACTGAAATGCAAACATAAATGCAGCACATGATGGGTGGTAAAGTTTTCTTCTGCTGCTGTATTCTGCATCCGTTATCAAATCTCCCCTGTATTCAACAACAAAATCTCCTTTGCAAAAAGGAGTCTTTGCAAATACACCACGTCCTAAAAAAGATAGCAGAAACATTTAACAGAAAAGTGAGACCTTAATGCTGTGTATTAATTTAGACCTCAAGAGATAGTAAGCCTATACAAAGCTGCAATCTCTAGCTTAACTAGTTTATCCTGACATCTTACATCAAATACTTATGAGATGGCAATTGTATACATAAGGAGTAATTCACAAATAATGTCCTGTCACCTTACCTTTTATTGCATTGATAAACTTCACCTCTAATTTGGATATCTTGTCAGACCTTGACAAAACATGATGACTGGCATCTTTAAGAGGGCTTATCCGTGGTGGCATTTCAAACCAAGGGATATATTTCAAACCTGCAATAAATGTAGTCACATTATGAAGGCTTTAATGGTATTAGATCTATATATGCAGAGGTGTTTTACATTTGATTTCAAAACCCAATTCAAACCAGTGTTAAGCTGTAAAGAACATTACATTAAATTTTAGTCTATTGCTGGTTTAGTGTGGACTATTTGTGAATTTTAGTCAGAATTTGTAACCATTTTAGTCACTGTATACATTAAAAAGACCAGTAAGAGTTTTCACTCATACAGCCCTTATTTCTTTCATATTATGAAAGGATGTCAAGGTCATTGATAATCTTTGTAATAGTTGTCAGACGCTGCCAATATTTTTTCCAACGATAAACTCTATAATTCATTTATTACTGAAGTCTTCTAGTGAATTTAGTCTCATATTCTACACAGTATTTACTAATCATCTGTTAAGTCATTACTCACTGCCCACTGAACACCCCAAACCAACTTCTAAATCTCACAAAATCATGAAAAATTACACTGTATCTTACTTCTAGAAAGTCTCTGGTAATTATTTTAATGATCTGGACCTAAATTTTGTCAAACTGACACTGGACAGGTGAAAACTTTTGATCCAACTAAAGGGGTTAGCTAAATAACGTCTTAGCTAGCTAACTGATGTGCTGAATGTCGACACTGTGGAAAAGCTGTAAAACTACAAATCAATCAGAAACCCCTGCTATGTCATTTCTTCTTTACTTCTGAAAATATAAAAGTCTGTAAAAACACCTGGCACTTACTGCATGTGTCTGAGATCCTGCACCATACTCTCCGTTTTCCTGATTACCATCAGCTGCATTTCAACCGTGGCTCGATGTTACGTTCAGACTTAAAACATACTTGACTTCCTCCATGATGTCAAAATAAAAGCCACGGATAGGAAGTTGTATTCTCACGTCAGTATTTTAATGTTGTCATAATTTCCATCTAGAAACTCAAATTTCACTTTTTTAAAAGATGGAAATCGCATTTCGTTTGACTGTTTGAATTGTATTTAAAAAATACACAAATTACCTTAGTCAGACCTTTGTTTTTATATATGTGTGATATATATATATATATATATATATATATATATATATATATATATATATAGTATTGATACTATGAAGTTGGAGAAAGTTTTAATGCAGCTGAGATAGTTTTATCTGAAAGCTAGTTTTGTATCAAGAAGCTTAATCTTATGAAGAGAAACAATTAGCTTTTCTTGATGTATTGAACCATGAGCCTACCTATCACTAATTTTGATTTGAATTTGTCTCCTTTTTATTAAATTGTAACTGGTTAAAAAGATGTCTTAAAACATCTGAGGCGTTTAAGCTGAGTTATCCTTGTATTTATGGTCTGAATTACAAACTTTCGTGCAGTAGTAAAAAGTTTGTTGAACTTAGGTGCTTACCTTTTGCATCTCTGTCATTCCTTTGTAAAAAAATCCTGTGAGTCTTTGCATCTTCATCAAACAATCCTCTGTGTCCACCGTGCACTTATTTCTCTGAAGACAACTTAAACACTCAAAATTATGTCGGCGATATTATTGTTCCTAATGGGGACTGGGAAGTAGGCGGTTCCTACCCATATTTGGAATATGTGTGTGTGGAGCCAACAAGTGCATTACCAGCCAAAAACTATAGAGGGGGCTACTGTGCATGCCACACACACACACACTAGTGGATAAACATGCTTTTTGGGCCAACTCTAAAAATCACATAGGCAACATCAGAGGAGCTCCTGCAATCATTTAAAAGGGTTTCCCTCATGGGGACCTCAATTTTGGTCCCCAAACTGCAAGAGGTCCCCATGAGGTGACTGTGTAAACAGACTTTTGTCCTCATGAGGCGATGAATACCAGAACACACACACACACACACACATACACACACACACACACACACACACACATACACACACACACACACACACACACACTCATGCCTTGTGCAGGGAGCGTGCCATGTGAGTGATGATCAGTGGGTATGAAGGGGTGAGGGATCAGGAAGTGGCCTGCGTGATGGATCAAGGGGCTCCATGACAACCAGGCCAGGACTTCCTGGTTAACAGAGACATTCCTCACATGGACAGACAGACGAATCAAAGACGATTTGTGTGTCTGAAATAGTGTATGTTCAGGAGAGAGTCCCCCAAAACAGACATAGTCCAGTATCCAGGATGATGTGTTTTCTTCATCTCAGTTCATTCTGTCCATCTGTGTCTTCATCTTCATCACTTGTCTCCTTCCTCTATTCAGCTTTTACACACTCCTCAGGAAAAAAAAAACATGTTTGTATGTACATGTATGATGGTTTCATACCATTATTTTGACTGATATTGATAATATGATTATTAAAAGTAATTAGAGATAAAAGCAATAAGATTTTTTAAAAGTAATGTACAATTACTGAAAAAGACAATGCATCAATACTTCACTTCAAGAACTTTGATTTAATTTTAGGAATAATTCTCACTAAATTGAATTCACTTATAGTAAAATATTTTTACACTGTCATAAAAAAAATAACTTTTTTATTGCTTAAATTTTATCAGACTGCACATCTAATCATTCAGTCTTTTTAAGTTTATTATAAAAATCATTTTTAACATCAAGACTTGGGCTTGTATTTTATTTTGATTCAGAGCAGTGTCTCCTGTTTTTTCGCCTTGCAGTCTTTAGCTCATTAGCGGGGGTGATCGGTTCAGCCTCTCTCCCATTATACTCATTCTGTCCCTCTGCTTTTCAGACACACACACCTGCCTCTTCCTGCTCCTCTCCCTGCTTTCCTCTCTCCATCCTTGGCTGCCTGATAGTTTGTACCACTGCTGCACAATCTGTTGAAGATCCAGCAGTCCACCATTAATCTTAGCCAAGGTTAAATGCTTACGATTAAGTGAAAGTTAGAGCTGTTTAAGGGGAGGGGCTGTGCCCACGCTCTGCTGTTAAGAAAGAGAGGGATGCACTTCAATCAACATACAGGACATAACAATGGGAGCAAAGCGTCGTTGAGTCTTGATTATTGTATTTTATATGGGGGCCTAAAATCCTCAACCAGAGTGAAATTCCATTAATTGCCCAGCTCTTGTGTGTATGTAGAGGAGCTGTCACTACACAGCATCACAGGAATTTATCACTACTTTGTGGGACACTCTCCGTCTCACTTTTGACGTCACAGATTCACTCCCTGTCTGAAATCAGCATTAAAATATGCTTGAAAATAAACACAGTACATGTTATTCTTTTTATAAAAGGTAAATGTTTGAAAGGCAGGATTTGCAAAAGAACATAAAGGAGATAGAAAGTTCAGCTGGTTGGAAGTGCATGGCATTTGGGTAACAAAATGGACCATTTTGACCATTATTCAGGCTTTTCTTGGAGATCGTCTTTGGGCTTTTGAGGAAAACTGCAGACTTGCAGCACATCTTCATGTATCACCATGTCCGGCGCCCTGCGGCCTTTGGGAGCGTATAGAATCACACGGTCCAAACATAATAAAGGTAATTTACTGCCAAGGCAAATTCCATAGCTGTGGGCCTCCGCCCCATGTTAAACAGCCTGCTGACCTTTAGCGTCTGATTTCATAAAGAGGGACACAATCCGATTAGGCCCGGACAGGAAAGGTCAAACGCACTGGCAGTTGTGGCGGGAATGTCGCCGCTAGCTTGCTGGAGATGTACAGAATGATCGTGGCTGCGTGGACCACAGCAATGTGTGTGTAAGAGTGTGTGTGAAGAAAGGATAGAGGCTGTGTGCGTAGGTGGGTGGCAGAGGAGGGGGCAGCGAAGGCAGTTAGCCTCTGTGGCCTCTGGAGCCGTTAGCAGAAAGGGCAGCAAATCTGACATGGGTGGCGTGCTCCCTTTTTATGTCCCAGTGACCACACACACACACACGCACACACACACGCACACGCACACTCACACTCACACTCACACACACACACACTGTGGCATTGCACCAGGTTTACCTGATAACATCTTCAGCTCTTCTGAAAGTGTGTTGCTGTGTGTGGGGTTTATCTGGGTTGATTTCAGTCTTTTTATGTCCTGATTTTTTTGTGGGTGAAGGATTAATGCAAATGTCAGAGCTGACTGTGAAGGTAAAGTCTTTGCTGATTTGTTACTCAGCTTTTTATTTTCTGTTGCACAAGTGCACAAGGGTAAGAAGTCTATGATGGACCCCTGTACAAATACTTCTGGGATACTCTTGCCTTAAACACAAACAACATCACATAAATACAGACATGCACAAGCAGTCCATCTAATGATCTCGATATGCCTACACACTATTAATGACAAGTTAAATGCACACACTAACTTTATTATTAACAGCACTGCTGCCAGATTTTATCAGACACACAAAAAGGTGTGCATTCCCTAACATCTGCGACACTACAGTAGTGTTGCTGTAAACTTTAATTCTGCCTGCACCTGATGACATCCTGAAGCTCTTTGGCTCAGCGCAGTCTGTGGCATTACTGTGTAAATTCAAATTTCTGGCTCTGTTGTTCTTCGTTGACAGTTTTGCTGGTCCAGTGAGTTCCCACCACATTCTGCTTTTCCTGTGTGTTTTTCTGTTTGTCATTTTGAGCTAAACACTCATCCGTGGGTCTTTTTTCTCATTTTTTTTGGGCTCTGCTTTTATTTCAGCTGCATTGCCATGGAAGTGTTGCCAACTTTTGAAATGGCTGGATTATTATTAGCTGAATAATCTTCAATCAACTTTAGGTCGATACTTAGCCACAATTTGTTGGTGGATGTAGATGTTAGCCAGGTAGTGAGGGGAGTAATGTATATATAGCAAGTGATTATGCCAAATAGAGTTAATCTAGAACTTATTCCAGGTTTAGGACTTTAGATCCATACTTTTGAATGGTGTAATAATCACAGCCCCACACTTTGATGTATCCTTTACACATGAAAAGACACTAAGTAATACATTCACCATGGAAAGCCCCATCCAGACTCAAAAGGGGTCCCAAAAAAGAGTGTTCAGGAGAGGAAAACAGGGTTCTGAAGCAAATTATGATATTTTCTTTATTTCTTTTTTTTTTTTTAAATAGAGGAAAATTCATTCAAATTCTTCTACATCTGTCTGTGCATGTGCATGGTTGTAAGAGTTCAGGCAGTTTGTCTCTCCTGTGGATGTTCCCACCAGCAGCTGTCTTCTGTTTTACAAGGTGCCCATTAAGGAGCTCACATGGATAATGCTGATTGCATGGTACCCTGCCAGAGTATGCTGTAATGTGAGTGTATGTCTGTGCTGTGTGAACATGTGTGTTTGTGTGTAGTGGGAAGAGATTAAATGTGTGTGGATGTGTATGTATACTCTTCACACTCTCTGTGTTAGTGTATGGATCTGATAGTGTCTTAATATTTAGTGTAATATGTGAACAAATTTGTGCGCATGTGTGTGTGTTCATGTGCAAAGTTTTGGAGGAATGTGCTTTCTTCGTGTGCTTGTGTGTGTGTGTGTGTCATAGTTAATGTTGATTGTGTTGGGGCACAGCGAGGTGCTGACAGTGCGGCGTCTGCTGAATGACGGAGATGATGTTAACAAGCACAGGGAGGCGGTCACCACCCCCCTGTTTACAATATGGGGGTGCTAAAGCTGTCAAGACTATAACTACCGCACACTGCTGTATGTGTGTGTACGCGTGTGTGTGTTTGTGTATGTGTGTGAGAGAGAGAGGGAGAGAGAGATAGGGGGAGAATGTGAGCACTAATACCTCCTTGTCCTCCAACTCTTTGTTGTCACACTCCTCATCTCCAGATCGCTGCAGAGCGGCTCCTGGCACTCCAGCTGAGAGAGACGGAGGAAGACAGAGTGAGCGAGTAAAAGAGAGAGAGAGACAGAGAGAGAGGGAAAGAGAGAGAGAGAGAGACCTTTTCCGTGAAGAAGCTGTGAGCCTGCATGCTGAAAGTATGGACGGATGGGGACACTGATGAGCACCTGCACAAAGTAGACGTGCCCATTGTCTAAAGCCATAAGGCTTCAAATAAGGATGATTCTGATAATTAAACAGTCTGCACACAGGTGTTTTGAATTAATCAGGGATATTTAATACCTTAATAAAAACTAACCAACTAATTGAAAAAAAGAGTGCCAGTGTAGTTTTCCAAGTTTTCTATATGCTAACTTAATACCTTTACTTAGATAAAGTGGTTTTCTATTGTAGTCTGCTTTTAAACAGAAATTCCCTTTGTCCTGCATGTGCACACAGAAAACAGGAATACTTACAACAAAGGCATTGTGAGGAGTTTTAGAGAAACTGTGTTCATTTCAATAATGACTGTTCATCTGTGAACCTTTTTCCATGATGAAGACATACATCACTAATGACAAAAACAATTAACCAAACAATGATAAGACAACAGTGCACCTCTCAGACATTTAAACATTTAAAACCTGTTACATTTCTC